ATAGTGCCAGCGAATGATCATCTCCAACAAAAGCATTAGACGAGACGTAAGGAATGACCATGCCCATGGTCCTAAGCAGCACCCATCGCAGGATAAAGGCAGTTGATACAGTAGCCGTAATACATTTGCCCATCTGCAACAAGTGGGAATAAAACCCTGAGTACGAGAAGGTACTCAGCTAGACTTACCCGCCATAACCGAAAATAAGTGACACCAAGGATTATGAAGGCTTTATAGTAGGGTAGCTGACTCATTTGCAAAGAAAGCATTTTTAGCATTTCAAGAACCTTTCTAAAGACATTATTGCCAAGTTAATTAATTATAACCTGTCAACTAAATTTGCATCTACACTAGAGCAAACATGTGATTAAGCCAATAAAGATAACCAACGATCATTAACAACTTCCATACTGTCATATTCATTATAACTGTCCAAGTGTTCCATCAACATTACTACGATAAAGTCACTCAAGTCAAGTGCTCACTATCCAGGAGCGATGGCGATTCGAATCGATTCCTAACCAGCTGGTGATTTATTCCTTACACAAACCTCACTCACCCGCTAAAGTGAGATATTGGTCACCGAATCAATTATCCAGGTATCTCGAGTTTGCCAGGAACCACATGTACCCGGGGGCCGACCGACTGCACTTTGGTCTTATCATCTCGCCCCCGTGTCCTACCACACCTGCTCCGGCACAGTGCGCTACGGGCAATCTACTCGGCCCGAATAATCTCCCAGCTTCGCGGTTGGAAGGTACTTTATCCTGCCAGCTAAATGTAAGGCATGCGTTCAACATGACTCGAGGCCCAACAACGGTCGGTCCTTAATCGACACAGACGGAAAGCACTACTGTTCAAAACTCTGCAAGCCTCCGTCCGGTCTCAACTTCATTTAACACTTAGTTATACCATGACTTCATAGTCATCCAAGCAGATCCAGGTAACCACCTATATCTCGCAGGTGACAGGAAATCACCCGACTTCTACCGGTCTAAGCCAGCTAAGCATTAACTCGACTGCGGGTACCAGGGTAACAAGGATATAGTATAACAAAGGTAAACAAGGATAATGCCGCAACGGTTGCAAACAAATCCTGAACCTAATGCATCAATTAAAGTAAAGCATTTAATTAATAATTGCAAACCGGGAGAAAAATGCTCCGGGGCTTGCCTCTCTCGAAGGAGCTCGGGCGGTGATCGGGGCACTCCAGAAGTTCCTCAACGTCCTCCTCATCGGCTTCGGGCACTTCCTGTGGCTGCACCTCGAGCTGCTCCTCGGGCTCCTCGGGTATGACGACTGGGTTCTCGGTTTGCGATCCTGTATGATGCAATGTGCGTAAGTGCTTATGCAATCGGTGCATCGAATGAGATGAATACAATGGATATGTTTAAATGCAAGGTAGTCAACATCATCCAAGAACATATACTACGAGCACACGTCATCTACTGCATTCTCTTCTACTACTAATATGTTAAGTCAACACATCTTATTGAATGCTTCAAAGATACACCAAAGCTTCACTAATTTCTTAATCACACTTAAAGCAACACTTGCTTAAACCCTAATTAATAATAGGTTTGAATAGCAACATCTATTTTTATTGCTTAGAAAAATCTTAGAAAATTACTACAGCATAGTACTACCCTAAGTAGTCTACTATCAGATTTTCATGGTATTTGAATGAGTGGATTAGCCTACACAAAAATAACAAGCTATGGCATGATTATGAGCATAAAAATACTTTGAACTGTGAAAAGTGTCAAACAGCAGAGTTAGTATTTTTCCTAGGTTCTTCATAGCATACAATAACTGTACAAAAATTATCACATGCATGTTTTATACAAAGTTTGCTCTCTAGCTAAAATAACAAAAATCAGCCATTAAAGGTACTTGAACTACACCTCAAGATTTTCCCACAGCACATGCATGAAACATATTTTTCCTAGGAAGTACATTACATAAGAAGATTAACAAACTTAGAATCATATTTTTCTGAAGCCTATAGAATTTTCTACACATTTTTCAAGTTATCAGCAATATATATGATTAAATAAAGTTCTACAGAAAAGTATCTCAAAAATGACATGCAATAATTTTCCCAAGTAGATCTGATGATAAGGAACCTAGACAAATTTATTTCAACAGATTTGGAGCAACTTTGAGTATCCAAACATTTTTCAAACCATTTCTATTTTCAAATAATAAAGAATAATTGAAAACAAATCATCCTATATTACATCGGGCCAGCCATTTGAATCACCTGGCCCACGGCCACATTTTAGCCTCTGCGCGCCCGAAGCGAAGGGAAGGTGAGGCGGCCCTACAGGCGTCGCCCATGGCCTCTCTACCGGCTCGCTTCGGCGAAGGCGAATGCCACCACTGCCGCGTGACGTCCGTCATGGTGGCGGCTCGGCACGAGGTCGGGCGGCCATTTCGGCCGTGATGAGGAAGAAGAAGAAGGGAGCACGCTGTGGTGCGCGAGAACTCGGGCGAAGGCGGGAAGGTAGCTAGGCAGGTGGGAGAAGAGGAGGAAGGTGCCCTCCATGGCGGCGAAAGCAGCGGCGGCGCCATGGCCGACGGTATGGGGCTCGAGACGGCGCTACTGGGCTCGGCCAAAGACGGTCTGATAAAGCAGCGAAAGCACGACGTGCCGGAGAGCAAGGCGGAGCTGTGGGCGCACGATCGCGGGCCGAGGTGGAGGAGACGCGGATTTTGCGGCGGGTGCGGTGGTGTGGCGAGAGGGAGAGTGAGGGCGCCGGTGCTTGCTTGCGAGAGAGAGAGGCAAGGTGGGAGTGAGCCAATGAGCGCGACGGCTCCAGCAGATAAGTAGGCGGCGCGCGGCGCGTGAAGCGCAGTCGGCCGTGTGTGTGTGGGCGACGACGACGGCGCATGGCACGCCACTGTGGCAAGTGGGCGAAGCTCTGTGGTCGGGCCGGGCTGGCTGGTGGCGTGGCGAGCAAGCGTGAGAGGAGCAAAGCAAAGTGTGGCTGGGCTGGAGCCAAGGCGGCAAGTGCGTGGCAAGGGAGGCTAGCTGGGCCGGCTTGGTCGTGGGCCGAAAGAAGCGAGGTGGTAAGTGGCTCATGATCGAGAAAAGCCCTTTTCCATTTTTATTTTCAAGAACTTTTTAAATGCCAGCTTTCAAATATTATTTTGAGCAAGGAAATGACTTCTTTTGAAAATGGCCCAAAAATAAAAGTTGCTTAGAATTTAGTACTCTACAACTTTGCTTTAGGGACCAACTAAAAATTTTGCATAGATTTTGAATTGGGAAGCAAAAGCTAAATAGAGAGGATTTTTTACCCTTTTCCCATAATAATTTCAAAAGCATATTTTGTCAAAAGTTTGAATACAAACTTTGCTCCAAAAATTGTGCTAAATAATTCTAGATGATTTACAATCATAACCAAACAAGTTCTACTAACCTAGCAAGCAAAATCAGGGCAAAACAACTCTTAAACAGGTGTATTCAACATTTAGGTTACACAACATGTTTCGTATGTTTCGAAGTAGTGTTTCAGTTGTTATTTACATAATTAGGCATGTATGATTAGGATGCTTTATGATGCATGTTATGCATGATTTGCAATGCCTAAATGCTGGCATAACACCGGGGTGTTACAGTGAGGACCTTGCATCCCCTCCTATTCTTCCTCCTTCATCACCGACCATGACAGCAAGACGCCAGCGTAAGTCCTCACTTCGTCAAAGTGCTCGCCTTGCTCAGCGTAGTGTTTTAAAAGATTTGGGCATTGTCAGGAATGATGGAAGCTCAACTAGGACGTAATTCAAGACTATGCAGACCGCCTATAGGAACTGTTACCATCGGAACTTCTCAAGCCTTTGATGAGGGTAAAAGGTTGTGCCTTCTGGGACTTGTTGGCGGAGGTTTTTTGCCTCTTCGTTAGATGTTGTCTTCTTTTTGGTTGTTGCTGGTGTTCTTGTGGCATTGTTGGTGTTGCGAGTGGGTTCTTGTTGACAGAATTGTCCTAGTCGTTGTAGTAGTTGTTGTTCCATTTGTAAACCTCCTTCGAGGGCCGTTGTTTGTCCAGTCTGAGCCTTCTTCTTTATCAATATTGGCAGCTCTCTCGCCCGATTTGTTTAAAAAAAGGAAATAGTTTTATTGTTGTTTTTGTGACAGTAGCTATTGTGATAAGATTATATTTGCAGAAAGATAACTCATTCATTCGTGACAGAAGTAGAATCTATTCAGTAAAGGAAGGAGGAAAATGATAAAAGATATGTAGAAGTTCTAAAACGACCTTTGCTTAGAGAAAAGTTGAGAAGGCTAAAACAACCTATATTTGAAACCGGTGGGAGTAAGTTCGATGGCAATGAGTAGCAAGATGTCGGTTTTATGCCCATCATTCTTCTTTCCTCTTCCTCTAGTCTCCCAATGGATTTATACCCTCCTCAAATGTATGGATTTTAGATCTTTCAAAAAAAATCTGGATTTTAGACTATTGGACCTTCGTCATCATGTTATCTATAAACTCTTCTTTCTTGTTCCTCTAGTCGTCTTCTAACTTCGGCCACGATGCTTAAATCAAGCTCCTATGCCCTCCACCTCCTCCCCTACTCCCCACCGGAGCGGACCTTCCTCCCCTTCACTCTAGAGCCCAAAATTCTCAATCCCAATCCCAAAATTCCAAATCCCTAGGACCCTAGTCCAATCTCACCAGAGATGGAGGGGACAAGGTGAATCTTGCTAGAATTGGATAATATTGAGTATAAGAGAAATTTTAGACATAAGTAGAAGTACAAAAAAACCTACGAAAATCTGAATACTATCGTGAAAGAGCTCCTTTGGAAAATACCTATTTTCTGTACTCAGAGAAATACCTATTACCATTGCAAAGGCAACAGTTGTGCTTGTATCAAGAAAAAGAATTCTGTGAGTTGCAAAGGCGAAAGGTATGCAGTACATTCGCAGAAAAGACACATACAGATACCAGTAGGCACAAAATGTACACGGTGAGATCAACAACTATGTATGGTTCCTACCAACCACGTGGCTGCACGCTCCGGCCATGATCGGCGCCTCCATTTCCGCCTCCGCGGCTGCCGTCTCCTGTCCACGGCGCACTTCCAAGCGGTCGGAAACTGTATGCACCGCCGTTGTCAAACCAGCTGTCCTTGCGGCTTTGCGCCATGTCCACCCGATGGAAACCTTTCCTATAGCTGTTGCCGTAGCTGCTGCTGCTGCACCATTGCACCTCGGAGGCAGTGCCGCTCCCTGCCCCATGTCCGTAGCTGCTGCTACCGGTGGGCTTCGTGTGGGCGAAGGCATCGGCACCGCTGTTCCCTCTCCCCCGCCCCATCCACCCCGTGCCGGCGTGCTTGTGCTCTTCCCGCGGCGAGACCGGCGTGCTCGGCTTCCAGATAGTGTCCGGCCTCTGAAGTCTGCAAGCCAGCAAGTGGTACGTCAACTAACCATGAGGAACAAACAAGCAACTAATCGATCATGAGAATTCGTGGTGCCAGAAATGGAGTTCCATTTACATGGGCGCTGGCGGCCTTGAGCCCTGGTACGTGTGCCAGAGTGGCCTCTTCGAGATGTGAGCTCCCGTAACAGTCTGCATGGTTCAGGAATTCCAAAGACGATGGATGACCCATCGATGATGAGCTCCAATTGTAAATAAATTGGAATAGTAATAAACAACTTACTAGTATCATTATCATCATGAACATGAACCCACCTTTTTAGGTACTCTGACATTGCCATGTAGTCTTGGAATTGGGTTTGCTGCCTCAGGGTTGAAGAAGTTAGCTGATCTGAAACATGTGTACCCAAAATGTAAGACAAAGCTAGCTACCACGAGGCCTCAAGACAGTGAGGCTCGAGAGAACACATACATTGCCTGATCATTCGTGATGTCCAGCAGATCTTTTATGGGTGTGCGAAGGGAACCGTTGCTGAAGCCACCATCCTCATCAGGCTCATCAGGCGATATCCACCCTCCAATTCCACTATTTAAATTTAAATATTTAGGCCATTGCTCTGAACAAAATGTCAACTTAAAAACGTGTTGGTACTAATTCACATAATTCGTTCAGAAATGCACCTCGCAGCCGAATCTATCGGAAGCTTTTGCGGTGAATGGTATGATGTTTGTACAATGACTTCAATGTGTGGCAGAGATTTTGAGTTCCTGTGCAGGAAGATCTTCTCTTGTCGAGTGGTATTCCGTTTCGATTCATGAACCTAATTTAGTAACAAGCCCCTATGACCATGGTTTTTGCAACAGCAATAAAAGCCCCTATGAACCTAATTGTTTTTACCGTGAGCTCTTTATCTACCACTCTGGTAGCCGAAAGCAGCAGTTCCTCAGAGATACCCTGAAACAGTATTTCACTGAAAATCAGCATCGCCAAGTGCATTGCCATTTGATCAGTACTAGACTGTCAACCCGTACACTAGCACGGGTTAGAATCTTAGAAGATGAAAGAATTATTTAGGGCCTTTTCGGTGGAGCTTCACCTGACTTTGGCTTATTGCTACAGTACCCGGTGAAGCAAAAAATAATGACCTCACCAGCTTCTAGTTGTTGGGAAAGAGAGGGAGATAAAAAGAGCTATATAAACAGGGACTGAACAGTCATAAACAGTGTAGCCGTAGGTGAAGCCCAAGTCGTTAGAAGCTCCACCAAAGAGGGTCTTATTATTTAATACCACTAACTAATTAAAAAATTACTTAAAATAAATTGTATGTTTATATCTTGAATATGCAATTAGTTGAAACCTTGGCATAAACTATGGTGGCTTTTGTTGCATCCCATATCTTATGATGTCATGAATCTAAAATTTGTTTTTTTAAAAATTTTATTCTTATTGATTGCTATAGATTTTTTATCCTTAAGTTAATTTAAAACTCTTGTTCCTATTGCATCTTTTATTAACTCTCCTTTTTGTACTTTTTAAATAAGAATTTTAGAAACCTGAATTGTTAAATACTATGCTAACATAAGTGATTATTTGAAACCTGCGCATGTCCCTTAATATAAGTGACAGAACTTGAACTTATATCTCCGATAGGTAGCAGTGCTAGTATCAAGAGGATATTAATATTTGAACCTTATAATGATTGACTGTTTACTCTTAAGGAATCTTAAAGGCCGAAAAAATATGGCTACCGGCGGCCTCTCCTACTTCTAAAAATGATTGAATTTTCCAATCAAGGAATTATATGTATAGTAATGGTTATACTATCAATAGTTGTATCAAACATTTTAATTAAAATGTAAAAATATATCTACACTAACAAACTATATAAATTATATGTCATGGTTACTAATGTGGTTTTAAACAATTTGTTAATGTCATTACTATATGAGTTGTTAAAGAAATTTTTTTATGTGTTAAAGAATAGACCCGATAGCTATTATTATCAATGGTGATTAGATTCTACCAAATTGATGGTCCAGTGTTTTTTATTTGTGTGAGAATTTCTAGGTTCTATCTTTTTTTCTATCGGGTCTCATGAGGATCAATGTGGAGCCTCCATTGGTGGCCTCTAGTAAATTTATAGTATTTATCTTTTTTTAGCGTGATATGTATTTAGTTGAAACCTATAGATAAGATATATAAGCTCTTGCAGTTTTTCTATACGTTAAGTTGGAACTCTAGTGTTTTTATCTTTTATTCAAAATTTAATTTTTTATTTTATTAAAAAAGAGTTTAGGTCATAGTAGTGTTTTCCACATGTTAAGTTTAAACTCAGCTTGCACCCCCGCACTCAATACATTGAATTTGTTATATAATCGGATTATATGTGTAGTAGTATTATTTTATATAACATAGAGTACTTATAATTAAATTACCAATATTGATATGACATTGTTTCTGTCAAAATGTACAAACTTTTTCAAAATAACAACTTATGAAATTTATTATCATGGAGTGTTAATATAAATTTAAGTGAACTGTCAGTGTAATTACTATGTGGTCTGTTAAGTGAACATTTTTTATGTTTCATAAGCTATTAAAATAAATATTTATCCTAATGTATACATGTTCACTTGTTTATACGGTGGAACATAGTATTATGCTTACTTTTTATCGTCACGATTGTAGAAGTGTGTAATTTAGAAATATATATAGCGTACTTTATGAATGTTTTGAATTATTTTTGTAATAGCATATATTAGTCTTTACTTGTAGATTTGAGAGATATTTTTGTTTATTTTTTGTAATAGCTGAGATACATACAAATATAAAGGTGTTACTTTTTATTATTTTTTTACATGTTAAGTTGGAACTTTAGCGTTTTTTGTTTTGTATTTAAATTTTTTTATTTTGTTAAAAAAGAGTTTATGTCCTAGTAGTGTTTTCCACATATTAAGTTGAAACTCAGCTTGCACCCCCGCACAACATGTTGAATTTGTTATATAACATGATTATATGTGTAGTAGTACTGTTTTATATAACATAGAGTGCTCAAAATTAAATTACTGTTATTGATATGACATATTGTTTGTGTCAGGATGTATAAACTTATTCGAAGTAACAACTTTTAAAATTTATTATCATGGAGTATTAATATAAATTTAAGTGAACTATCAGTGTAATTGCTATGTGGTTTGTTTAGTGAACATTTTCCATGTTTTATAAGCTATTAAAATAAATATTTATTCTAATGTATACATGTTCACTTGGTTTATATGGTGAAACATAGTATTATGCTTACTTTTAACTTCAGGTTGTAAAAGTATGTAATTTAGAAATATATATATCATACTTTATGGATGTCTTGAATTATTTTTTGTAATATCATATATTGTTATTTACATTTAGATTTGAGAGATATTTTTTGTAATATATATAGCATACTTCAGGTTTATATGGTGGAGGAGCACTAGCGGTATGACGGATCCAGCCTTCCCTCTCCCTCGAGCTCCTGCGGCAGTGCCTCAGCTCTCTCTCCCTCTCCTCCGGTGGCGCTACGGCGAGAAGCACTGGCCCCGTTGAGCTTGTGCTCAGATCCGGCAAGCGGGTGCTTGGATCCGGCAGCGGGGAGGGCAGATCCGATGGCGGGGAGGCAGATCTGTCCGGCAAGGCTAGGCGGGCGGCACTCCACCTCCAGTGTAGCGGCGCGGACGAGGCGGGCCGGCGAGGTCGGATCCGGTGGCGGGGAGGTGGATCCGGCAAGCGGTGCTCCTCCAGCGGGCGAGGCGGGCGGCGCTCCTCCGACTAGCAGCGCCCGCGGCGGTGCATGGATGGGCTCGATGGGCCCGTAGATGGGCTCGGCGGGCCTGTCCATGAGTTTTTTTTTTTTTTTGTTTTTTATTCGATTAACCAAGGCGAGGAGGTTGCGATGCCCGCCTCGGTTAAGCGTTTTTGTCCGCCTCGGTAAAGTTTTCTTTAGTAGTGGCCCTGCACGGCCCGTGCCGCTGCCGGAGCACCCACTGGAGGGGCCGCTCACCGGATCCGCCGCCGCTGCACAAGCACCGCCGGATCCGAGCTCCTCCTCGCTGGATCCGGGCTCGTCCTCACCAGTCACTAGATCCGAGCTGCTCCTTGCCGGATCTGATGGCCTGAGAACAAATGCCCAACTTCTTCTTTCTGGTCTATTCCTTCTTCTTTTTGCCACTGAAGAATGAGGAAGACTGATCTGAAACTTATTGTCCCTAGTCCTTCATCATGGCCAGATCAAACCATAATAAAAACATAAAAGAAACTGGAGAAAATTATTCCATGGTGGTGACATAATCTCCGCCTTGACGTCGCCATCCGAAAATAAAAGTCTCCATGTCGCCATATCGGTGAGGATGTTGACGCCGTGTTGTCTTCCTCATCTTTAATAGAGCCGCCATGAAGAAAACGATTTCACCCTGCCCCCTCGCCGTCGCTTGAGAGGAGGAGACAAAATCCCCAAAACCAAAAAACTTGATATGGAGAGACCCTAACACTAAGGACTCGATCTATTGAAAAAACTTACTAAAAATGATAGATCTCCATTGCCTCTAGCCTCCGGCGATATGCGTGGGTGGGAGGGAGAGGGACCAGCGGTGGTGGAGACGGGCGGCGGCGACGGCGACGCTCGGAGTCGCGAGACGCGAGTTGTCGTGAGACGCGAGTTTGGCGGGAGATGCCGCTGTAGTGGAGATGACGTCGTCGTCGCTCACACCCAGACATGCACTAGTAGCCCACATGTGCCAACGTGGTCTTCGAAGTAGCGATTCAGTTTTGTCCTAACACTAGTATTAGGACAGGGAAATGGTTTGTAGTCCGGCGGTAAACTCATTTCACGTACAAGCGTTTAGCCAACTTCCTTCTCAAGCAACCTTATGTGCTATGTATTTTACCAAATTTAGAAAATTTTATATTTCGCTATCCAGTTTTCAAAACTAAAACAACATTTTGCATCAGTCACAAAGAAAATATATATCACATCGTAATGTATACTCCAACCACAATCATATATATTTATTGTATAGTTCCATCACTCATCGTATGGTTCATCACTAAGGATTTAGGCCAAGCTGGAAGTGGAAGATGGAGGAATGGTAGCGGTATTGCCTTCCAGATAAGAGATGGGCTCGCGGCCTTCTTCATTGACACGGTCAAGGAAGGTCTACTCATAAGAAAATTGTTTTATTTATAGTCATTTTGAAAAGAAAAAAAATGCTATTTGCACCCTGCAGATTTGAATGATAAAAATGGGTCCTATATATGGATGGCGCCAAAGCCCGTCATTATGGGAAACACGTGATTTGCCGAGGTGTAAAAATCTTTGTCGAGTGCCAAATTTCGGGCACTCAGCAAAGACCTGCTTTGCCGAGCGCCGCACTCGGCAAAATATGGCACTCGGCAAAGAGGCCTTTGCCGAATGCCTGGCACTCGGTAAAGACCTGCACTCGGCAAAGATTGGTAGGGGTCTAACGGCATCCAGCGGCGTCCTTTTTGCTGAGTGCCCCCCGTTTGGCACTTGGCAAAGAATTTATTTTGCCGAGTGCCAAAACTTGACAATCGGCAAAATATTTTTTTTTTACCACCAATTTTTTTGAAGCTTTAGTACACTACCACAAATAACATGTTTAAATTTAGGACATTTTCATTGCCTTTTGGCATATTTCTATAGTTTATTTTGTTTGGTTGAATTTTTCCAGAAAATGTAAGTTTGAACTATAGGTGCATCGAATAATGGATTATATTCGTTCAAAAAATGTTATCCTTGTTTCTTAGTGTAAATTTTGGCTAAATCCAGGATCTATCTCAAAATTTCGATCAACGTGCTCACGGGGCAACGCCGCCAACTTGCGTGGGAGTGATTTTTTAATTGTATAAAATGCGAACGAATTCCGAAAATCATGAAACTAGTCGAGTTGTCGCCGTATCGTATGCGTATGCTGTGGAAAATTTTGAAAAATTTTCATGCACGTTGTCAC